GGGGGGGAGCGGGTGCCTGAATTTGATAGGTACCCGCTCCCACTTCCGGTCCGATCGCCTAGGCGATCGGAAGCGGAAGGTGTCCTCCCTCCCTCCCTGTAGTCTTTTGAGACACGTGACAGGTCCCAGAAGACTACAGGACCATTCATGAAGCGCAGCACTACTCATGCATGCGCAGTGGGTACCCAGCTGTGAAGCCGCAAGCTATCAGAGCCGGGTGCCCACACTGAAGATGCTGGCCTTCTGGAATACAGGACGGCCTGTGAAACGGGTTGCAGGGGACACACCGCAGGACCGAGGGACAGGTAAGTGGCTATTTTTTAAAAGTCAGCAGCTACAGTTTTTGTAGCTGCTGACTTTTATTTTTTGACAGTGTGAGTGGAGCGCCACTTTAAATATATACAAGTACATGTGTATATCTTTCAGCCACTAGATGTCACTCACTAACCACATAGCTATGACTTTAGAAGAATGTGGTATATACTGTAATATATTGACAGCTCCACTATCTCTGCATCTTTTTCCTCATAGGGTCAGAACACAATTTTCATTTTTGAAGATATGTTGCTTCAGTACCACATAACATTTTACATTGGTAGACATATATATTATACAGTTTTTAGGGGGGGTGACTTTACAAGCAAATTAAAATATATAAAAATGTGAATGCATTTCCTGCTCTGCCCTTGTGTCTTGCTGTGCATGTGTGCCCATGGGGCTACATCATAAAACTGGTCTGCGTTTCTTGTTATTGATTTAGCTGTGTAATTTTTTCCCAGTATTTCTCATAGTGGACTGTTTCTGTTCCTCAAATATATTTGTACATATTTATGTGCCAGTCTTCACTCTTCCACTAATTCCACTCCACTTGTGAAAATATCACCCACTTGTTCCACCACCTTAACCACTTGCCCTCCAAAGGATTTACCTCCCCTCCTGACCAGGCCATTTTTTGCATTACTTTTCTGCGTTGCTTTAACCTCTCTGGCGGTATGATTCTTTCCGATTTTTTTGTGCTGAAAGCGGTACCATTTTTTTTTGCATGGAAATATGTAGTTTTTTATTGTAGGCTGTAATTTTTAGGAATAACGCACTGAAATCTGTACGAACAAGAGTCTAGTAAACATTCCGGATATGATAAAACTTGAAACACGAAATCATAAATTATAATTTAATAATCATAAAAAAAATAATAATATAATAATAATAATAATATATTTCATTCAATAATATAATCAAACCAAAAACACTGAAATTTGAAATACGGAGGCAAATTTGCACATCGCTGAGCAAAGTCGCAAAATCGTTTTCAGTGTCTGATGACTAATTTCCCCACGAATCATTATCACTCAATTCTGCAAGTGGTTCTGATTTACTATCGCTGTTCTAAAACCGCTTTTGACGTAAAGAGACGCTTTTTTGGACGCCATGGACTTTTCTAAGTTTCCAGGCAGAAAGAACAGTCAAAATGCAGGCAGGGCACAGGACAAAGCAGTAGGGACAAAATATATGTGAAATGCATTGAAACAGCAATGACAGCAAAAATGACATTTTAAAAAATTTAAAATTTGCTACCGGTTCCGGCGCCCGTACGTCCCGACGTCACAGGGACCGGAACACGGAAGCCGGATGCCGGCATCGGCCGGAGGAGATGGCCGGGGACGCTGCAGGGGACACATCGTGGGAGCGAAGGACAAGGTAAGTGCTGCAGGAACCCCCTGAGCAACGCCGCATGGTAAGCCCGAGTGTAGCTCGGGGTTACCGCTCTTGGTATTGAAATTTTACCCCGAGCTACACTCGGGAAAACCGCTAAGGAGGTTAACTGACAATTGCGCGGTCATGCAATGCTGTACATAAATGAAATGTATGTCCTTTTTTCCCACAAATACAGCTTTCTTTTGGTGGTATTTGATCACCTCTGCGGTTTTTTTCATTTTTTGCACTATGAACAACAAACAAAAAGACAGACAATTTTTAAAAGAAAAAAAAACAATATTTTTTGACTTTTTGCTATAAAACATATCCAGTAAAAAATGTTTTAAAAAAAATCAAATTTCTTCATAAATTTAGGCCAAAATGTATTCTGCTACATGTCTTTACTAAAAAAAAAATCCCAATACGTGTAAATTAATTGTTTACATGAAAGTTATAGCGACTACAAATGATGGTATATGTACTGGATTTTTTTTTTTTTTTTAAATACTAGTAAAGGCAATCGGTGACTTATAGCGGGACTGCAGCGGGCATTCTGACACTGGGTGGGAACTGACATCTATACAGTGATTAGTGCTAATAAAAAGCACTGACACTGTACTAATCACACTGGGCATGAAGGGGTTAGCATCTGGGATGATCAAAGGGTTAACTGTGTGCTGTTTTACATTATATGCTGTGTGTGTTGTACTAGGGAGACATGCTGCTTTTCTGCTGTGCAGAGAAATACAAAGCAGCATGTCCTTGCTGGCAGGAGAGAGACCTGTGTTGTGTACACACAGGTCTCTCCCCTATCAGCTTTGGCCATAGATCGCTGGGTGCTGGCGGGGAATCTCTGGCGGGGACCCAGTGATTGACATCCCTAGCCACCAATGGCGGCACGGGTAGGGCCAAAATGTATTTGGCTACATTTCTTTGGTAAAAATAACTCAAATTAGTGTATATTATTTAGTCTGTAAATCGAGTCCACAAACAATGGTATGTATATCTGAAAGTCAACATGCCAGGGCAGTACAAATACCCCACAAATGACCCCCTTTTGTAAAGTAGACATTCCTAAGTATTTATTAAGAGGCATTGCAAGTTTTTTGTAGTTGTATTTTTTTGGAAAATGAAGACGTGAAAAAAAATATTTTTTTTTACTGTCACCAGTGCAGTACAACGTATCGTCATATAACTGGTGTGGTGGTGAGCAGGGACACTGACTGTTGACAGTATTTAAAAAAATAAAATAAAATGTTTTTTCTTTTTTTATTAAAATTTTTTTTCCACATACTGTGACCAGAGCAATACAGTGTTACTATAGTATCACTGTACTATTCTGGAGAGGTGATCAGGATTTGTTTTTCTATATACTATGATTGATTCTAACAATAATAATCACTAGTTGAACCACTTGCCCTCGTGAGAATTTACTCCCCTTCCTGACCAGTCCATTTTTTTGCGTTACGACACTTTGTTACTTTAACTGACAATTGCGTGGTCATAGGTAAAAAAAAATTAAAAAAATTTTTCTCAAAATTGTGTCTTTTTTTTTTTTTATAGCGCAAAAAATAAAAACCGCACAGACGATCAAATGCCACCGAAAGAAAGCTCAATTCGTGGGAATTTTACGTTCTTTTTTCCAAGGAATTGATCTTTCTTTCGGTGGTATTTGATCGCCTGTGCGGTTTTTATTTTTTGCGCTACAAAGAAAAAAAAAAAATAACAAAGACTGACAATTTTGAGATAAAAACATTTTTGACTTTTTTTTCCACCTATATATACGTGATTTCTCCCAATGATGGGGAAGTATTTCTGCTATAGGGCAGTTGGGAAGTGGTTAAGAAAATCTTTTTTCTTAATGAAATCCATTCATTCAGTGTGTACTATTGTGATTTGCTCTGATTAGCCACATCTAATCATGGTACAGAAGGGCTGTGATTGGCCTTGTCTGTACCACGGGATCTGTTGTGATTGGTCACAGCAATCACATGGTACTGGTAGCAGCTCAGTACACTGATCTATAATTCACTGTGACCGGTGGACATAGTGGGTGACAGATCACGGCGCAGTGGGGTGATCTCCACCCAGAATGGCAGCACTCTCTCCCAGGCCACCATTTGTCTATAGTAGAGATGAGCGAAGTATTCAAAAATTCGATTCGACTGATTCGGCGAATTCGTGGACAATATTCGATTCGAGTCGAATATATTCGCTGTGAATTTAACTTAAAAAAAGGGTTGTTTCTAGGCTTCAGAGAGACTTAATATTAGTGCAGAACACTGTACCTTTAATTTAAATGCCCTTGGAGTCTGCTGGGGAAGAGAAATAATACTGTCAGTCAGTATGACATGCAGATGAGTGCCGTCGATCTTAGAATCACCGCACACTTCACTCATTTGGCCAGTCACGGGGCCAAAACCAGTGTTTGGAGCCACAGTGTGGCGGTGGAGGCAGCAGCAATGGGAGGCCATACAGCAACCTATGACAAAATGGAAACCAGCAGGAGTGTGAGGAGACCTCAAAGTGGCACATGGCAGAGTGGGAGCAATGGGAGGCGGTACAGGGACCCATGTCACACTGTGGACCCAGCAGCAGTGTGACGAGGCGGTACGGGGGCCCATGGCAGATTTGGGGCCTGGCAGCACCTATGGGAGGCCTGTAATCTGCCAGCAACCTATGACAAAATGGAAAACAGCAGGAGTGTGAGGAGACCTCAAAGTGGCACATGGCAGAGTGGGAGCAATGGGAGGCGGTACAGGGACCCATGTCACACTGTGGACCCAGCAGCAGCGTGACCAGGCGGTACGGGGGCCCATGGCAGATTACAGGCCTGGCAGCAGCAATGGGAGGCCCGTAATCTGTCAGCACCCTATGACAAAAAAATGGAACTCACCAGCAGTGTGTGAGGAGACCTGAAAGTGGCACATGGCAGAGTGTGGCGATGGAGACAGCAGCAATGGGAGGCCGTACAGGGACCCATGAGAGACTCTGGACCTGGCAGCAGCATGAGGAGGCGGTATAGGGGCCCATGGCAGATTAGGGGCCTGGCAGCAGCTATAGGAGGCCCGTAATCTGCCAGCACCCTATGACAAAAAATTCAACACACCAGCAGTGTGTGAGGAGACCTGAAAGTGGCACATGGCAGAGTGCGGCGATGGAGACAGCAGCAATGGGAGGCCGTACAGGGACCCATGAGAGACTCTGGACCTGGCAGCAGCATGAGGAGGCGGTATAGGGGCCCATGGCAGATTAGGGGCCTGGCAGCAGCTATGGGAGGCCCGTAATCTGCCAGCACCCTATGTCAAAAAATTCAACACACCAGCAGTGTGAGGAGACCTGAAAGTGGCACATGGCAGAGTGTGGCGATGGAGACAGCAGCAATGGGAGGCCGTACAGGGACCCATGAGAGACTCTGGACTTGGCAGCAGCATGAGGAGGCGGTATAGGGGCCCATGGCAGATTAGGGGCCTGGCAGCAGCTATGGGAGGCCCGTAATCTGCCAGCACCCTATGACAAAAAATGGAACACACCAGCAGTGTGAGGAGACCTGAAAGTGGCACATGTTTGGGGCATGATTCATGGCGGATTTAGTCAGTTGTGTCAGGAACTGGTGGTTTGAAATCCAGACTAATCCACGCCTGATTCATTTTCACAAACGTGAGTCTCTCCACACTTTGGGTGGACAGTCGTGTCCTCCGCGGAGTTGCAATACCTCCTGCCGCACTAAACACGCGCTCCGATGCCACGCTACTGGCCGGGCATGACAGCCTTTCAAGGGCAAATTCAGCTAGTTGGGGCCAAAGGTCAAGTTTCGTTGCCCAGTAGTCAAGGGGATTGTCTACCTCGGTTGGCAGGGTGCTGTCCAAGTAGGCCTAAGCCTGTTGTTTGAGGTCCTGCTCCAGGTCCACCTGATGCTGCTGCTGCTGCTGCTGCGGCTGGTTATTAGTTTCCTCACTGCGCTGGTGAAGAAAGCTACTCATCATCGACTGCAGACTGAGGCAGCTGCTGCTGGTGGAGCTGCCACTGCTCCTACCACCCCACCCCTCCCCTGCTGCCATGGCAGCGGAACGCGAGCGCACAGGGCCCACAGTGTCTGAGGATGGGACGTTGGCGCAGACAGGCAGAGACCAGCTGACTACATAGGTGGTTTTTATAGTACGTTATTTTGGCCTCCCTCTCAGCAGGTGTGAAAAAGGCCACCATTTTGGAACGGTAGCGAGGGTCCAACAAGGTGGACAGCCAAAAGTCATCCCTCTGTCTGATGGTTATTATTCGGCTGTCGGTACGCAAGCAAGCGAGCATGCTATGGGCCATTTGTGCCAAGGAATGCGAGGGACTCCCTGCCTCCATCTCCACAGCATACTTCCACGGTGCGTCTGGGTCCTCTGTCTCCTCTTCCTCCTCCTCTACCAGATGCTCCTGCTCCTCCACTCCTGTCCGCTGAGTGGAAAAACCACCCATTTCACTCAATAATTCCTGAGCACCAATGTCCTCCTCTACCTCCTCCTCTTCTTCCTGTCCTGCCCCCACAGGGGTCATGTGGCGTTGAGATCTGGTGCCACGTCTACCGCACCCTGACCAGCCATTATTAACAGCATTTGTTCCAGGACGTGCAACAGAGGAATGACGTCGTTCATCCCATAGTCCTGCCGACTCACGAATAGCGTGGCCTCCTCAAAGGGCCTGAGCAAGCGCAGGTGTCACGCATGAGCTGCCAATGGCTGACATCTAAGTTACACAGGGAGTACCTTTATCCGCTTTTAACATCAGGAAATCCGTGATGGCCTTTTGCTGTTCGTAAAGGCGGTCTAACATATGTAGGGTTGAATTCCACCTTGTTGCAACGTCACAGCATGAGGAGTCGGTACGGGGGGCCCATGGCAGATTACGGGCCTGGCAGCAGCAATGGGAGGCCCGTAATCTGCCAGCACCCTATGTCAAAAAATTCAACACACCAGCAGTGTGTGAGGAGACCTGAAAGTGGCACATGGCAGAGTGTGGCGATGGAGACAGCAGCAATGGGAGGCCGTACAGGGACCCATGAGAGACTCTGGACCTGGCAGCAGCATGAGGAGGCGGTATAGGGGCCCATGGCAGATTAGGGGCCTGGCAGCAGCTATGGGAGGCCCGTAATCTGCCAGCACCCCATGTCAAAAAATTGAACACAACAGCAGTGTGTGAGGAGACCTGAAAGTGGCACATGGCAGAGTGTGGCGATGGAGACAGCAGCAATGGGAGGCCGTACAGGGACCCATGAGAGACTCTGGACTTGGCAGCAGCATGAGGAGGCGGTATATAGGGGCCTATGGCAGATTAGGGGCCTGGCAGCAGCTATAGGAGGCCCGTAATCTGCCAGCACCCTATGTCAAAAAATTGAACACACCAGCAGTGTGAGGAGACCTGAAAGTGGCACATGGCATGAGAGACTGTGGACCTGGCAGCAGCATGAGGAGGCGGTATAGGGGCCCATGGCAGATTAGGGGCCTGGCAGCAGCTATGGGAGGCCCGTAATCTGCCAGCACCCTATGTCAAAAAATTCAACACACCAGCAGTGTGTGAGGAGACCTGAAAGTGGCACATGGCAGAGTGTGGCGATGGAGACAACCCACCGACTGTTTTGCTCGCTGCCAAGCTGCCACCCTCTTCTCCTGATGATGCGGAAGCAATAGCCTGATGACGACGAGGCTGCCAAGTGCGATCAGCCTCATCATCATCAATTAGGGTCTCCGCCTCACTACTAGCCCCCTCGGCTGCGTGTGGGTCAGGAGACAGACCTGTCTCTACACCGGCTACCGAGCCACTCTCCTCGCCACTACTTCTTCGCCTGGCTGCTGAAGAGGCGGATGTCTCCCCCCGTTCCTGACCGCCCTCTGTTAGCTCTTCCTCACTGTACTGGATGACACCGGGAGCACTAGCCTCTGGCTGCGAATAGTGCTGCCTCGACCCCTTCCTCTGCTGCCACGTCTGCTCGCTCCTAAAACACATTGCCTCCTCTGCCACTCCTCTGCATGTTGTCTGACATACTCTTTAATTAAACGATTCTGTGTCCCTGAGTAACGTTTCTGTGTCCCTGAGTAACGTTTCTGTGGCCCTAAGTAACAGTTCTGTGGCCCTAAGTAACAGTTCTGTGGCCCTCAGTAACAATTCTGTGTCTGTCCCTGAGTAACAATTCTGTGTCTGTCCCTGAGTAAGAATTCTGTGTCTGTCCCTGAGTAACGTTTCTGTGGCCCTAAGTAACGGTTCTGTGGCCCTCAGTAACAATTCTGTGTCTGTCCCTGAGTAACAATTCTGTGGCCCTAAGTAACGGTTCTGTGGCCCTCAGTAACAATTCTGTGTCCCTCAGTAACAATTCTGCGTCTGTCCCTGAGTAACAATTCTGTGTCTGTCCCTGAGTAAACAATTCTGTGTCTGTCCCTGAGTAACGTTTCTGTGGCCCTAAGTAACAGTTCTGTGGCCCTAAGTAACAGTTCTGTGGCCCTCAGTAACAATTCTGTGTCTGTCCCTGAGTAACAATTCTGTGTCTGTCCCTGAGTAACAATTCTGTGTCTGTCCCTGAGTAACGTTTCTGTGGCCCTAAGTAACGGTTCTGTGGCCCTCAGTAACAATTCTGTGTCTGTCCCTGAGTAACAATTCTGTGGCCCTAAGTAACGGTTCTGTGGCCCTCAGTAACAATTCTGCGTCTGTCCCTGAGTAACAATTCTGTGTCTGTCCCTGAGTAACGTTTCTGTGGCCCTAAGTAACGGTTCTGTGGCCCTCAGTAACAATTCTGTGTCCATCAGTAACAATTCTGTGTCTGTCCCTGAGTAACAATTCTGTGTCTGTCCCTGAGTAACAATTCTGTGTCCCTGAGTAACGTTTCTGTGGCCCTAAGTAACATTTCTGTGGCCCTCAGTAACAATTCTGTCTGTCCCTGAGTAACAATTCTGTGTCTGTCCCTGAGTAACAATTCTGTGTCCCTCAGTAACAATTCTGTATCCCTCAGTAACAATTCTGTGTCCCTGAGTAACAATTCTGTGTCCCTCAGTAACAATTCTGTGTCCCTGAGTAACAATTCTGTGTCTGTCCCTGAGTAACAATTCTGTGTCTGTCCCTGAGTAACGTTTCTGTGGCCCTAAGTAACGGTTCTGTGGCCCTCAGTAACAATTCTGTGTCCCTCAGTAATGTTTCTGTGGCCCTAAGTAACGGTTCTGTGGCCCTCAGTAACAATTCTGTGTCCCTCAGTAACAATTCTGTGTCTGTCCCTGAGTAACAATTCTGTGGCCCTAAGTAACGGTTCTGTGGCCCTAAGTAACAATTCTGTGTCCCTGAGTAACGTTTCTGTGGCCCTAAGTAACGGTTCTGTGTCCCTCAGTAACAATTCTGTGTCCCTGAGTAACAATTCTGTGTCTGTCCTTGAGTAGCAATTCTGTGGCCCTAAGTAACGGTTCTGTGGCCCTCAGTAACAATTCTGTGTCCCTCAGTAACAATTCTGTGTCTGTCCCTGAGTAACAATTCTGTGGCCCTAACTAACGTTTCTGTGGCCCTAAGTAACAGTTCTGTGGCCCTCAGTAACAATTCTGTGTCCCTGAGTAACAATTCTGTGGCCCTAAGTAACGGTTCTGTGGCCCTCAGTAACAATTCTGTGTCCCTGAGTAACAATTCTGTGGCCCTAAGTAACGGTTCTGTGGCCCTCAGTAACAATTCTGTGTCCCTGAGTAACAATTCTGTGGCCCTAAGTAACGGTTCTGTGGCCCTCAGTAACAATTCTGTGGCCCTCAGTAACAATTCTGTGTCTGTCCCTGAGTAACAATTCTGTGGCCCTAACTAACGTTTCTGTGGCCCTAAGTAACAATTCTCTGGCACTCAGTAACAATTCTGTCTGTCCCTGAGTAACAATTCTGTGGCCCTAACTAGCGTTTGTTTGGCCCTAAGTAACGATTCTGTGGCCCTCATTAACAATTCTGTGTCCCTGAGTAATGCTTCTCTGTCCCTAAGTAACGTTTCTCTGTCCCCAAGTAACGTTTCTGTGGCCCTAACTCTGTCCCTAATACAGAGCGGTCTGCCTCTCTTGAATGACTGGAGGCAAATGAAGAATTCTAAAATGGCCGCTATTTATAGCTCGACCATCACACAGTGCTGGCTGGCTGGCTGCTGATTGGCTAATGCGATCAGTCATTAGGAATGCATTATGGGTCAGCGCGCCTTGTCTGCGCGCCTTCCCAGACATCCCCGCTCCGTCGCCTCACATGTCCGCCGCCATTTTAGGAAAAATTTCGATTCGCGCGTCCGAAGTAGGCTATTTTTCGGATTCGGCGCGAATCGAAAATTTTCCAATATTCGACTCGAATTCCACTTCGCCTACTTCGATTCGCTCATCTCTAGTCTATAGGTTGAGAAGGAGGTGGTTAAGCAGCAGTTGTGAGCTAGATTTACTCACTTGTTTACCCTTCCATTTATAAAAAATACCTTGTCTAAAGCCCACTGTCAGCTGACGTCACAGAGCCGGATCAGGATCTATAGGAAAGTGGAACTGCACTGCATCTGAGCATCACAAACCAAAAATGCTATAGAATTCATTTTTTAATATTCAAGCAAATTTCCCCATCCATCCATGTCTTCATACTTTATTTTGCTGAGAAGTCACTTTGATAAACACCCCCCTGGCATGTCTGGCTGTAGCCATCTTGAGTAAGGGCAGATGATTTCATGTAGCAGTTACTTCCTGCAATCCATCTGCTCTCAGCTCAAGCATTGACTGAGTGGAAAAAAACCCCTCCTGGGGTGTATATCATTTGCCTAGGCATGGAAACCAGGAATTAAAGAAATGCAAAAAATAAAAAGGGTAAAGCAAGTACTAGGGTCATTGGTTCGAATCCCAACCATGGCACCACCTGCCTGGAGTTTGCATGTTCTTCCTGTGCCTGTGTGGGTTTCCTCTGTGTGTACTCCAGTTTCCTTCCACACTCCAAAGACATGCTGGTAGGTGATTTGGCTCCTGTCTAAATTGGCCTTAGTATGTGTATGTATGAATGTAAGTTAGGGACCTTAGATTGTACACCCCTTGAGGGTTAGGGAGTGATGGGAATGTACAATATATATGTAAAGTGCTGCGTAAATTGACAGCCCTATATAAGTACCTGAAATAAGTATATAATATATACATTCCTATCCATTTACTAATGCTAGCAGTATAAGGATTAGAAATAGTCAATGTTGTTTGAGAGAATGAAGTTCCTCTTTAATGCCGGGATCCATCCAGAGGGGTACACTTTTATCTTCAAAAGGAAATTGTCTGGGAGTGCAACTGCTCACTTGTTTTTAAAGGTGTTAAATTATCCACAGCATTTTTTTAGGTCTCACAATTGCCCTTAATGTTCAGAAAAACCTAAAGCAGTCGCAGTGGTAGGTGGAGACAATGGTATATCATGTCTTTCATAAATGTGTATCTTCTTCTAGTGTACATTCATCAGGTGCAGCACTATTTCTTCTGCACACTTGTTATTGCTGCCCTCTGGTGGCCAAGAGGTGACATGCAGCCATATTACCAGTCAAATGCTATAGGTGTAATCAGTATTATTGCTGGTATATTATTAGTGCCAACAATTTACACAGCGCTTCATATTATACATTCACATCAGTTCCTGCCCTTAAGGAGCTTACAATCCAAGGTCTCTAACTCACATTCATACACACACATAATAAGGCTAATTTAGACAGGAGCCAATTACCTTTGAGCATATCTTTGGATCATGAGAACGTGTCAATATAGACATTACAGCCACCATTGCCTATTTTTCAAGGTGCGAGCTCCAGGTTATCAGCCTTATTCACCTCCTGAGTCACTGAGCAAGTATGAAGCTTGTGAAGTTAGAACCTGTATTCTTGAGGCAAGAGTAAACCAAGAACCTGAGGGAAGAGCACACCTAGAGCAGTAAGAACATCCCTGATCGGTTTCCTTAGGTTGCTGATATGGAGGTTATTCTGATAAGGACTAGGAATTCATGTTATTGGATTGTACTTTACTGTAGAGCAGTGGTCTCCAAACTGCAGCCCAAAGGCCAGACACTGCCCTTTGCTTCAACAATGGGGCAT